GACAGCTCAGGTGGCAAGAGAGTATGGAGGGATGGACACTGGGAAGAGGTAACTATGGTGAGGAAGTGGGAGGGGAGCTATTGCATTGTGGTAAACTGTGGTCAATGACATGCGACAAAGTATATGTGAACTGCTGTATGGAAAGTGAATTTGCTCTGTAAATCTTCACCCAAATCAAAATAAAATAATAATAATAAAAAGAATGCCTCCGAACTGTGTCCATGGTTCTACTCTTGCTCCACTTAATCCATACTCTGTGGAGTAGCCGAGGTTAAAAATTATATTAAGCCAATAAAAAAAAAATTCATAATTACAATATTTTCTAACTTTGGTGCTCAAGAAACCCTGATACTAATGATTTGAATATGTTTTTCACCTTATAAACTAAATTTATTTTCTTTCCTATAATATTAAACATGGGAGCTCTGGTAGCATAAAGGCACTTGACTGCTAACCAGAAGGCTGGCAGTTCAAACCCACCAGCCACTCCTTGGAAGGAAGGCTGGGCAATCTACTTCCTTAGTGATACCGCCTCAGAAACCCAAGGAGAGGTCGCTGTGAGTCAGGTGTGACTTGACAGCACATAACAACACAACAACAACACAATATTAAACATAATTTTAAAATGTATTATATGATACTTTAAGCACGTCCTTTATTGTAGAGTATTCCAAGAATAGTGCAATATAATGTATGAGATGTGTTACATAAAAGAGTACTGTTTGCAGCCTTTCAAAAAAGTATAGCAGGTCAGGGAGAGCAATTTATAAAATTACCATTGTATATTAAACCTACAAAAAGTGTGAATTCCCTTTTTTCTTTTTTAAAAAGAACGATACTTCTTTTGACCCTTAAATTCTTTAACTGACTTTATAAAAGGTACCCAACATATCTTCCCATTCTTCAGAGGGCTGTTGAGCAGTGGTATGGAGAGCCAGCATGTACAACTCCCATCTTAAAACTTATGGCAGAACTGATGCAAAACAGGTAAGTAGAGTGATTGGGGAGTGAAAAAAAAAAAATCTACTGGCAGCATTCTCAAAAGGTCAAAGACTGTTCTGTCTGGTGTGCGTATATTCAAGACTTAGCAAGAGCCTTGAGGTGATAAATAAGAGTAATAGAATTAGAGAGATAAGGTTTAGATCTTTTGGGAGAAAGCATAGTATACTGAGAGGTATATGAGGACTATGAGATCTGGGGGGAAAATTGGAAGACTGCAGCTATCTTTACTTAAAATATTCAAAGGCATAAAATGGAGGAGAGCAGCTATATCAATTATATCTTTGCTTACCTGAAATTCTGTAGAATTTCAAAGTAGGACAGAAGTTTAGAAGTCTCTGAATTGAGATGTCTCATTTTATGGATCAGGAAACTGAGACCCAGAGCAACTCATGGCCACATAGTCTGTCCCAGGAACCCTAAAGATAGTACCTGCTTCAATTTCTAATTTATGCTTCTTTCTCTATGCCAAGATGCATGTATTTGGATGATTTATGCACTCGCAGTTTTCACTTAAATAGCTTCTGTAATCCTTCTCAGAAATTGCCTAGTTGACCTTATAATTTGCATAGACCAGTAGAGCTTCAGATATTCTACATATAAATATTAACAAAGATCTAGCTAACGAGAAAATAATGCAATAAGCTAATTGGTTTTACCCCTTTAAAAGATGTCATTGTGAATATGGCTTAGTACCAAATTACCTGTCACTTAGCCATCCTGTTTCATCAATTCCTCTTTGTAAACCGTGTTGGGAGGGAGCTATCCATACAGGGAAGGAGTATGGGTTGCAGCTCTAATTTTATCTCTGGTACTGAGTTATTCACAGCAGTCATTTAAAATTTTTCCTCTAAATCAAAAGGAGGAGAAAGACCTGACAAGGAAATGTAAGTATTATTCTTTTAAAAGCTATTAGTTTAAAAAATATATTAAAGAAAACTATGCATTTTATATTAAAATTTATTATATTATTATGTTTTACTGATACCGTAACATTTTACATTAAACAAAAAAATGTTTAACAAAAACAAAAAAAAAAAAATCCTTGCATTGTATACTGTTAAGTATTTTATGTCTGCCATTGCCAGATAATTTACAACTAGCACAATTGCCCTAAAAACTACTTAGTGAAAATCTTTTACCTCAGAAAATATATTATCTTGTCTTTATTCCTCTAGAATTTAATGTGAATTATATACATGTATTTCTTTAATCAAGAATTGTGTGCCATCAATCACATGTTCATAATAACATTCCTAATAAGTTATAATTGCACTTAATTCTAAAGCATTTTGTAAAAGCATGGACAAGCAACAATTCATTCTGTTCCTGGAAAACAGACTTTAGCAAATGTCTTAGCTTTTGGGGGTTTCTTTGCTATGATCTAGTTCCATTTTTTGGCTAATCTTTTTCTAAAAATACACAACTATTTCTTGGAAGTCCAAGTGACAAGGCATATCAGTACCGACTAAAGCCAAAGTGGTATTAAAAAGGCAAATAAAATGTCAGGGCTCTTGCCCTGTTCATGCTATTCTAACCACAGAAGTAGATTTTCTTTCTCTCTACTTGAGCTATTACAGACTTTAGTCTGTAATGTAATTTAAACATGTTTGAAAAATGCTTGAAGCGTCAGATAATTCATTATGCATATATGCAGTAAAAGGGACCTAGACTTCCTATCACTTTAGAATTTGTTTTTAAAAATGTGCAGTGGGTGCTGTAGGAGATCTCCAATGTAAATATGGAAGGAGTATATGTATTCTCGTTTATATATGTGTCAATATCCAAGTATCTATATATACGTACATGTTTGTTATTACATCAACCACTTTGCATACATTTCAGCTAAAAGATGTATAATTCCTTCCAGGTTAAGGATTTCTCAGGTCTGTGAACCCTCTGAAGTTGACTACAAAATATTTCTGTGTATATTTATTTTTATGTAGAGGGTCTGTAGCTTCTATCAGTTTTTCAAGGGAGTCAGTAACCCAGAAATTTAAAAGCAGCTGCTCTAGGTAATAACCACTAAAAATATCAATCCTCAGATGTACTCATTAGAATAACTTCCACAGGAAAAAACTTCTCTCACCTAAAGATAGATATTGATGTGGTTTTATGCATTTTAAATACAATTATCTTTCTTTCCAATTTATAATTTATTGCTTCCATTTTTTTAATAAGAATGATACATGGAGTATAATTTTTGGCAGAAGGCAGCATAGCATTCTAAAAAGAGCTCATGTTTTGGATCTGCCAAGCCTGTATTTGGATTCTGGCTCCTTCACTTATTAATTATGTGACCTTGGATAAGTACTTCTCTAAATCTTCATTTCCATGAAATGAAGAGAATAGCATTTACTTTATAAGGTAGTTATGAGAGATAAATGCAACAATGTACATAAATAAAGTGCCTCCCTGATACTAAATGTTCTTCTATTAAATGATGGTGATGGTGGTAGCAGTTTTCGTTACTTTGAAATTACAGGTAAGAAAAAGATCAAGTCATATATATGGGGCTTTGTTAAGTAGTCTGCCATAATTAAACGGGAAAGATTCGAAAAAGGGGGCAAATTGGCTGAATTTGAAAGAAAAGCATAAAAGAAAGTCTGTGATGTAGGATATCAGATGTTATTTTCACAAGAGTTACATCAGACAATGAATGGGCTCTTTGAATCAGCAAATAAATGAAATTGGCCTAATTGGCCTAGTAGCTTTTTAGTGAGAACATGATAATACATATTTTATCAACACTTGTTGACTGGCATGGCCCTTGGAAAAAGTGGTAACTGTGCTGTTGCTAGTTCTATTAAATGAAAATGCCGGGCATTTTAAACCCATGTTTGATTTCTTTACTGCACATGATGTCTAATTTTTTGCTATATTTCTTAGATCTCAGCGCTTGAATTTTGATGTATCATCCCCTAATGGAATTCTTCTCTTCAGAGAAGCTAGTAAAATGATTTGCACTTATGGTGAGGATCCTTTTCGATGTTTGTCTCTGCAGTATAACTTTATCTCTTTGGAAGAAAGAAAGATGTTAGTTGTTTTACTCCTTTGAACCTTCATATCTGTATGAATTTGTGAAATGGGTAATAGGAGTGCAAAAAGCCAATAGCCATCATATTGACATCAGGATAAGTAAGCATCATTCCTTTGACTACAAATCACGGCCTGACCAATTTGATGAATTTCCTTTGGATAAAATTGCAGTGTCTGTAGGCAAAGGGAATGCACTAGATAGAATATTGAAAAGCTGAGCTTATTTAAAATTGTTCAAAGTTATATCATGTAGTTTACTATCTTGGGTCAAGAACCATTTAGACCAGTATGTTACTAGCACTGAATTTTGGAATATAATATCCTTGTAAGGAGCAGTAAATATTTTCTTGTAGGGGCATTCTAGGCCCTGGCCCTCTAGAAACAGAGATCTACTACAGTAAAGATTGTCCTATTCAATTATAGTATAAACGTTTTAGGACTTTGTTAGCAGTTTGGTCTTTAGGACTACCATAATCCCTAACACTTTTCCAATTCTGACTGCTTCATCACTGAAATCCTCAATTCTCTGAGACTTTTATGTAGCCGGGGAGTGGGAATAGGGTGGATAAGAATCCTGCTATCGAATATGGCACACTGACTGCTGGCTGTGAGCTAGGCTCTGTGCAGCGTACTTTGCTGCAAGAGAGGCTTCCCTGTGTTCTCTTTTTCTTTGTCCTCTTCTCCTTTTTGTCTGTCTATTCTTAATTCTTTAAATCAGCAGCCAGTGCTAACTAGTTTGGTCTCAAAAATTGTGTGATTCTGATATTTCTTTTTGAGTACCTAGAAAGAGATTTTCAGGATTTTGTGAAGCGTCTTTAAGTGTGTGTGTATGTATGTGTGTGAGAGACAGAGAGAGACAAAGAGAACCACCATAGAATGTCTCTTCTTTTTTTAAAAAAGAAGAAAAGTAGGTGTTTTAAATTGTTTTAACTTCAGTTCAAAATACATCTGGGGCTCAATTCTGTATGCATTATAGTCCTCTGTTTAAAATGCTTAGTTTTAATTACACATTTGATTTGTAGAGTTTGAGACTGTAAGTGTGTGGAGACTACAAAAAGCACCTATTTAAAACAGAAAACTTGCGCTCCCTTAATTTCATCTATACCAGCAACTACAGTACCGCAGCATCTGTATCTGTTTGAAATAGACACATTAGGGTGATACATGTTAGAAATACTCTTCCTCCCAAAGGTAGAAATGGACCCCTTTTTAAAAATTCTAAGCACAGTCTGCCTGACTTCCAGTGTGTATCTAATTCCTTTCAATGTCTTATCATACTATTGTATGTGTCTAGATCTTTTCCAGAAATAACACCATATCTTAGAAAAAGCATAGGTTTTAGAGATTAATAGATCTGAATTTGAATCCTAGTACCATCCCTTATCAACTCAGCTAGGACACTATGCCTCTTTGTGCCTAGTATTCCATGTGTAAAATGAAAAATAATAAATACCTACTGACCAACCTGCCTGCTTAGAATTATGGAGTTTGGTTGAGCTATGGGGTAAAGAACCTGGCACAGAGTCTGCCATGAAATAGGTACTCACAGAATGTGCCTTTCTTTGATCCAAAGCCTTTTTCTTGCATGCACTGTGCCAGTCTTTCTCAGATGAGGATGCACTGACCAATGTCATTTTTTTGTTCACTAATGCCCACTGCTTGAACCACATTGTCCTGCTTCACTTCCTTCTGCCTATAGCAAGTGCTGGGTTTTTATAGCCTTACTTTAAAAAAAAAAAAAAAAAATTATTGTGATTTGGGTGAAAGTTTACAGAGCAAATACATTTTCCATACAGCAGTTCAGACACATTTTGCTTCATGACATTGATTACAATCCCCATAATGTAATAGCTCCTTTCCCACTTCCTCCCTGTGGTTACCTTTTCCCTGTGTCCTTCTTTCCTATGCATTCCTGCCCTCTGAGCTATCTCCTTCTACAAATACTGCTCTTCTGATCTCCCATGGTTGATTGTTCTGAGGAGTGTACCTACCTGGTGAAAATGCAGTGTACCTTGTTCACCTGTCTGTTGTTTGGCTGGAAGCCATGGGAGTGAGTTCAATTCCAGGCTCAAAGGGTGACTTGGGGCCATAGACTCAGTTTTCACTAGTCTCTAATAGATTAGTAAGGCTGGTCTTTTTTTTATGATTTTGAGTTTTGTTCCACATTTTTCTCCCATGCTATCCAGGATCTCCTACACTGATCCCTTTCCTAGTGGCCAGCAGTGGTAGCCAGGTACCATCTAGTTCTTCTGGTCTCAGGGTCATGTAGGCTGAGGTTTGCATGGTCCACTAATCCCTTGGAATATTTCTTTCGATGTGTCCTTGGTTTTCTTCATTCTTCTTTACTCTGGATGAGAAGAAGCCAATTGTTGCATCTAGATGGCCACTTGAAAGCTTTTAAGACCCCAGTTGCTACTTACCAAAGTAGGGTGTAGAACATTGTTTTTGTGTAAAATGTTAGGCCAGTTGAGCTTGATGCCTCCCACAACCAGGGTCCCAAGACAACAGGCCCAACAACTCATTGCCTCAGTGTGGTTGGCTGTGGCTAAGAAGTTGTATAACTTTGCCCCTGTTAGTTCTATTTATATGGACATTCCTATATCACATACAAATATGTATGTTGAAATATCATCTGCCAAACTTATATATGGTCATGGGTATATTCCCTTTTGCCTACACATACCTAATCATTTAGCCTGTCTACCTATATATCTGCCCATAGATTAATGTTTGTTATTACTAATAATTCAGCATTGTGGATGTAAAGGTGTTTATCTTTGTTGTCTGTACCTCTTATGTACCTCTCTGTGTCTTCCTTTTCCTTAGTGTTGTTGTGTTGGTCACTCACTTTTTATATCCTTACTTTTTAAAAGAAAATAATAATTCCCATCATGAAACACTTCATGTAGAAGATTCTCTTAGTAAACAATAAAGCTTTAACTATACAAATACTGTTAGATTGCTGTTAACCAATCACAATGGTATCTTTCCTGCCTTTTTTTCTGAATCTAGTTTCTTTCACCAAATGTATTTTTTTTCCTTTGGGGCTTATTCACTATTGTGGTGGAACTGATAAGAGCAGTGACCTTTTTGTCTTCTAATATCACTAGATCTCTAGGACAGAATGTATGTTCAGCCAATGATACCGAAAGGATTCTCACTGAACTGTTACAAATCCATAGACTATAAGCAATCCTGTCCCCTGTCAGGTTGTCTGACATTGACAAAGGCATTGCAGCAAAAGTTGAGAAAGATAACTGTGACAATTACATTGGAGGAGGAGGAGGAAGAAGCAGAAGGAAAATGGGAAAAAAAAAATGGAAGAGCAGAAGGGAGATGGGAGGGAAAAGACTATCTTTAAAGCATTCTTGGGAAGAAAAACTAGTAAGGTGTTTAAGGTTCTGCTCATAAATTTGGACAAATAATAATGGTTACTTCCATTGTTTTAATCACCTAATATGTATCTGCTTCTATACTTGACCATTTAACATATATTAGCCTGCTGAATCATCACAAGGGCCCATCAAGGCTGGTGTTGTTATCTGCCACTCACTAGTCCTATGACCTTGATTAAGCTGCTAAGCTTCTCTGTTGCTTCAGTTTTCTATTAAACAGAATATAATGTCTACCTCATAGGATCATTGTGAAGATTCAGTTAGGTAATATATGTAAAGCCCTGAGACCAATTAGCTACTATGATGACCATTGACCAATTGAAACTCAGGGAGGTGAAGAGATTGTCAGATATTGCCTAGTTAGCCTGTAGTTGAATGAAAATTCCATTACTTAAGTCAATGGTCTTTCCATATTCCAATTGTCTCTTGGTAGTTGCCACAGGAAGATTGTATGTTTATGATGAAGCACTGTTCTTCAAAGCATGGTGATTTATATTCAAAAATTTAAGAAAGACCAGAAGTTCAATGGAAGAATGCCCTTCAACTGTGTCTCCAGTGAAATTAACGCATGCATTTAGAATAAAATAATAGGAAAATGTCCTTCATCTACTACTCATTCTCATGCCAGCTTTCATCAACCAAGCTGATTTTATCTGTCTTACCTTCCATAATGTTTTACCACTCATACTTTTTTTTTTTTTTTTTTTAACCTCTGGAGACTCTAATATGCTCATTGGAGGGAGATAATTTGCTTGCCATCCAGGAGTCTAGAAGATGAAGGAAAGAGTGACTGGGGAGACACAGAAGGGCCAACATTATGTATTTCTTTGGTAAGCCAAGGTGAAGGAAGGACGAAAGAGGCTAGAACATTCTGTGATCCCATCTGTCCCCATCCTCACTGGGTTTCTGCTCTGCTCATCTCTCATGGGTAGTATCTGGGTAGGCATTTGTTTTGGGCAGTGCAGAGGGGGAAGGACTCCTATCCAATGCCCCTGATTTGTTACACATTTTGTGGAATACCTCCACCTCACTGCTCTTTGAGACTGGCAGAAAAATAATACTTTTGATATGCTGTTTTATTTATCTGCATTCTGTCATGATATACTTTGATGTAAGTTTTTAATTTTCTTCAGCTCTCAGCTGTTCTTGCCGTTACAGCTCAGGGTCAGCAATGAGGTTAGCCACAGTAGCACAAAACAATTTCCTGTTTGTACAGCCCAGGTAACATTTGGATGAGGATTAAATTTTATCACATTTTCTACTAGCCCAAGCCTATTATTTCTAATGAGTTTTAAATTGCTTCAAGAACATGTATTTCAAAACTTAGTGCTATGATCCATTCAGCCTGAGCAACTTAATAAAAGAAATTTCTTTCTTAAATTTTTGGTTAAAATGTTGCATGCAGTGTAATAAATGTTATTACTTTGGAAAGCTACTTCTCAGTTTTAAGAACTGGAATTTTGTATAAAATTATAAAGAATTTTTTATGCTCAATTTCCATTTGTCTAATCTTTTCCTCCCTTTGCCTCTGGGTACTG